CAGGAGTCTGTGCCTTTTGCTGATCCCCCAATCATGGGAGAATCACTATAACTTCTAACAGACACTTCAAGTTCTGTACTAGGGCTGCTCCAGGCATTATCTGTCATCTTTTGGGGAATAATGCCTTCAGCCTTTTTCAATTGCTTGAATTTGGCATGGTGACTAAATATCCAATCCTGTAACTGCTCTATATTAGGGATAATTCTGAAGGTGGTGTGAATGCTTCCTACATAGTTGTATATACATAGTGCCCCCTGAATTTTCTCCTGCCCAGCAATCCAGAGGAACCATCTGGCTCATAGATAGGGGCTGGGTCTGCCATGGGACTGCTTTTCATCCCCTAGCATCTGATGATTCCTTTATTTTCTCATTCTACTTCTTAATGCATTCTTCAGTAACCACTACATCATACATTATAACTGCACTTACCAGTTTTGTCATGGGTTCAGCAAAAGATATCAATAGAAATAAGCAGAATTAAGCATGCAAAAAGAGTGAGCACAGGAAGTACAGAGATGCAGGCCAAAGTCCAGGGCAATTTGCTGTCATGCTGATATATGGCCACACCCAACCTCTATTAGATCTTCTGGGTAGGTTGCCAAAAATGGTAGCCTTTAGGGCTAGGACAGAAGTTACACATAAACTGATTTACATGATCAGAAACTGGTTTAAACCTGTAACAGAACAAAAGTTCAGTGTACATAAACCAGTTTCAAAATGGCCAAAACTGGTTTAAGATAAACCTGGTTGAATGTAGTATCAGACTTAACTGATTGAGGTCAAACTAGGAGTTCCAAATTATGGAACTTCTGTCCCAGACCCCTTCCTGGTTTAAGTTAAATCAGAGCCCCTAGCATGCTCTACAGCCCTGGGCTGGGCTTTGCTGTCTGCTCCCCGCTCCTTCCCCTCTCCCCCTGGGAACCCAGCCGAGGTCTGCCTGGCTGGGGTGCAGTAGCCCTTGTCAGGGTCCCTCCCCCCTTGCCACTCTAAGGGCAGGGGTGTGGCCAGACACAGGCTGGCATGGGCTCCCTGAGGTGAAGGGGTCAGGGAGGAGGTTTATTCCCCACTCTGTCCCCTCTCCCACTGGGGACTACAGCTGGGGTCTGGCAGCCCTGGCCACCACTTCCATCACTTGGCCCCAGCCAGGCAAACCCCAGCTGTGGTCCCTTGGTGGGGGAAGACAGAGGGGGGAATAAAACCCCTCCCTGCCCCTTTCACCTTAGGGGGCCATGCTGAGCCAATGTCTGGCTGGGGGCCAGGGTCTGGCCATGGTCCTTCTCCCCCCTCCCCACCCAAAAGGCCTGGTAAGGGTTGCTTTCCCCAGCTGGGATCGCTGCAGGCTAAGGTGAGGGGTTTAAACCCCTCCCAAATCATACTCAGGCCTGCTGAGGCCTGGCTATGCCCCCCACTCAGCTCAGCTTCCCTCCCATGAGGCCACTGTGGAAGGGAAGGCAAGACATGCTCTAGTACCTCCCAGCTTCTGGCCTGAGCTGCTGTAGGCATGTGCCTGCATTTCCAGAATTGAAAGTGAATGTCTATTCACTTGCTTGCCAGTTCAATCTATGCAGGTTAGAGTAACCTGCAAAGATTGACTCAATTCAGGCTCAGGCTTTTTGAATGTCTGTATTTAGCCTAGAAGTCTACACCTGTAACTAGTGTTTTATAAATTTTGCTTTTGGGACCAGAGACATATATTAACAGCAGTCTGCACAGTGTATCCAATGAAGTCAAGTAACTTGGATTCAAACTTTTATTAGAAATATGAAGTTAAATGTTGTAACAACAAATTGGAAAATGAAAGAGAAATGGGATATAAGTAGATGCTCACACCTTTCAGAAACTCTTGAAGTGGGTAACAGTCATACAGCAGACATTTGGGCCCAATCTGGAGCACAAGGCTCAACAGGTGCACCAGGGCCCAACCGCTATGCCCCATTCTGAGCTCCCCAGAATACCCCTTGCTTTCCCTGTATACCACAAGAGTTGCATGTGTATAAGTTGTGCCCATTTTAGCATTTCCTTGCCCCATAAATATAAGAGTACACAGAAGGTACGCTTAAATTTTTATTCTTAATACATCCTGTTAATTAGCACCAGTGTCACGTTCACGTCTACCAACTGTTGTGGAAAATGTGAATGTAGGCATTTACAATGGTTAATGCTTTTTACTTCTTCCCAAAATTTCCAGTGTGAAGAAATGCATGACTTTGGCTCATGTGCATGGTTGAATATGCCACTTGCCATGCGGCAACTAGTTTTAGAATTATGTGATAAATTCTGGTCAGCTAGTCTTATTCACTAGGCTCAAATGAGACTTACTCATGCAGTGCTCATCATATGTAGTCCATTGGGCTACTGCATTCCCTATCTGTCTTACAGTGTTACTATTTCTTGTGATTATTACTTACATTGACAGGTTACTATTGTTACCTATGCCAATGAGACTGAAGTTAGCCATGTTAGTCTAAAGTCAGTCAGAAGGCAGGTTAGATATGCACCTTTATAGACTAACAAAATAAGGTATCTAGATATATATCTATTTATATATGTTGAGACACACATACACACACACTCTTATTTTTATTTATTTATTTATTTATTTATTTATTTATTAATTTATAGAGCACACATTTTTGTGAACCAGACTTCTCTTCATTAGATGATGTGGAAAGGCATGCAGAAATCAGAGTATAATGTAGAGTGAGTATAATCACTCACTCCACATTATACTCTGATTTCTGCATGTCCTTTGACTGCACCTGATGGAGTGAACTTTGGTTCATGAAATCTTATGCTCTCTCCCTTTATATCTTATTTAGTTAGTTTAATGAGATTAAAGCCAGAATTTCTCCTTAATTTACAGTGCAAATATATTACAAATAATTGTAATAAAGGAAGGATAAAATGATTCAGGGCTGATTAAAATTGCCTGAGGCAGGGAAGATATGTTTTTTAAGTGCAAATTCTGGATTGTAGCCACAATTACTCAGTTTTAGTAGTGTTGTCAGGCTAAGAGAATCTCTAGTGATCCTACCCTGATGAACCCATGCTATATTCAATATTTATCACATATAAGTGCAAATAGCTGGGAGGGCATGGAAGAATGAAACGAAAATTATCATGATCATCTTTTCCTTTCTCGTAATACGATTTGTATGTGCAATATCCCTCTCAGATAAACATTTGTTTCTCTTTTCACTAATTTTTTTATCATTAAGGGGGCTTAAAAACATTATGGTAACTCAACAAATAGGAATAATTCATAGACATGCATGTGACATAGAAGCTTTGTAAAAATATTTGCTTCACTTTGCTCTTAGTGTAAGAGAGATAATTATTTGCTTATGATTAGTACAATAGATGGTGAATAAACATTCTGTCATAAATGCAGAGGGCATTATGCAAGATTGACCCTTAGTGACCTAAGGAAGTTTGCCAGATCTGAAAGATTACATTAGCTCCTTTCGGTGTTGCCAACACTATCTAAACTATGTTTCAGGGTGGGGGTAGATAAAATATTCTAAGGTGAAGTGGGGGTTGGACTTAACACATCAGCTGAATTGTTGCAACTGCTTCCTGTGTCTACTTTTTCAGTGGTAAGTAGAAGTTTACCCCCATATGAAACACCTATTAAATTACCATGGTTTAGCTTTCACTGGGATACAGCAGGCATAAGTGCAGCAGCCACCTCCTGGTAAATTCACTTGTTTTAACTTGGTGAGCTAATTAATCCTCCCAAACCATGTTCTTCACAGCAAATAGGGAAGCCCTGCTCTATTGAACAGGTTTTGCAGTGGAGAAGAGGTTTTACTGCATGTGGTGGAATTTTCTTGCAAGGAGCATAAGGGGGATCTGGAAAGTGTAGTTCTTGCTGGAGGATAACTGAGGTAGACTGGAAGGAAGTAAACCTGGAATGGAAATGATGCCAAGGGACTCCTGAAGAAGAAATAGGATAGGCTCTGCTTGTTGGACAGGAGAGAACTGAGCTGGTCCCAGATAAAGTAAGCCAGTTGATCAGAGATCATTCATTTCTGTGCCATAGGAAAGCAGTCAGAAGAAGCTTGTTGATCCTGGAGGGATGTTAGAAGGGCAGGGAGAGATTAGGGTGACTACTTCCATGAGAAAGGAGAGGAGCAGACTAATCACAGGTTAGGTGATTCCAGGGTGACATACCTAGGAGGAGAGCTGCAAGAAGAGGCAGGAACAAGCCAACTTGTAGGAATGAATATGCTAGGCACAGCAAACCTTGTTGCTGAAATGAAATGGGCTGTCAAAAATGGTCAGTATGACCAAGACTGAGTTTTGGAACAAACATCAGAATTTCATGGCAGTGTTGGGGACTGCTAATGGAGTGAAACCTTGTATGTAGCACAGTTCCAGAGTGATCCATTCTGGACACAGCTTTTTCAGATTTTACTACTTTTAGATATTATTAGTTTGAAATTGTTTGTATAATAGGGACTTAAGGAGCAGTGGCTTGAACAGTTAAATACCGAGTCATATTGACAGAACAGCATGGTAAAACTATAGCAAGGAAAATTTGCTGTTAATTTACAGCTGAATGGAAGGAATACCTTAGGTCATGGAGTCCAGTTCCTTGCTATTTGAAGCAAACACTTTATGTAATCTCTTTAATAAACTGATCCAGCTGTCCCTCATAAGTAGCTAGTTTTCTGTCCCCACTGCTCCTATTGATAATGACCTGTTTTATTTTGTGCACTGAAGTTTCAAACAAAGCTAGCTTTGATATTTACGGAATAGCTACGGTTAGAGGCACTTGGTAATAATTTTGCATTTGATTGTCTCCTGGATTGTAATAATCGGGGCAATTTGGAGGTGCCCTTAAAGCAATTAACAATAAAAGAAAAGTTAACTATGACATTAGCAGGGGACAAGGCATAAATCCTAGGTGAATTTGAACAAGTGCACAGAAAATAATTATTTCTTGGTCTGTTTTCCAAATGTAGCCCTTTAAAGTAAGTTTCTGCATCCATTTGCAGGAAGCATAGCTTCATATCAAGCTCCAAATGCTGTACTTCGACTATTGATCTTGGCTGCAGGTGTTTCCTCATCGCTGGTGGTTCAAACAGTAACATGGTGGTCAGGAGACAGTTTACAAAGGTATTTTTTATAGTTATAAATATCAATATGCTTATAGATGACTCATGAGCTCAACTCAAATTAATGGACTGAACAATAATTGAAAAATAATTTAAATTTAATATAGTATTTGTACAATAATTAAATCCCAGTTTGCATATAACATTTTTTAAAGTGTACCACATACTCAAGAATTGATTCTGCATTTACAGATACAGCAGGATATGGGGATTCATCCTAGGAAAAATTCTTCTTCTTGTACTACGAATCTGGTATACTTCGCTCAACCCAGTCTGGAGCTCACAAACTGCCAACATGGTCATATTGATCATAGGTTTCATAGCAGCAGCTGACCGAATTTTTACAGGTAAATGTTATAGTAAAAAAATTCTTATAAAAATAATTATAAAAATATTTAAATCTCAGTGCTGAAGATAGGTACATTGTTTCATGTAAAATCAGTTATTGAGTCTTTGTGCATGAATACATTTGCATTCTCTAGAACTTGCACAATATTTTCTCCCATGCATTGGCTATCAGGATTAGCTGCTTAATAATGAGGGGTTTTCTTCCTTTACGAGCACTGGCCATTGCTATGGAAACCTGGCTGCAGGCTCCCAGCCATTCCCCTTCCCCCTGGAACCAACAGTGAACTTCTGTTTGGTCTGGGGTAATGCTGTAACTCAGAATGCTTTGCAAAAATTGTTCTGAGTTAGAGCTGGAAGCTGCACTTCACTGTGCACCCCTCAGGTCAGCCATTATTCAGTCTCTTCTCTGGCATTTTGAAGCTGAGCCATTAATAGGCTATAAATAGATGCTGCAACTGTCTCAGGAAAAAGCATTTTGTACGAGGATCCTACAGACCTACAGGTCCACTGTTCCACTTCAAGTCCCTCTGAAGTACGTGGGATAAAATATGCTAATATTTTTTCATAGGGCAGAGTTATGTGCGTCTGTAAGATTACTACAGGTCAAGCTGGCAGGCTACATGCTCTTTCTGGTCACCTATGGGCATAAGAGCAGTAGTGCAGCTTAGAAGGGTGTTGTGTAAATCAGTGTTTCTCAACCTGTGGGTCATGACCCATAAGTAGGTCTCAAGACTATCTGACAAGGTCCCAAACAGGCACAAGAAATGCAGGAAAATGCAGG